GCAAATTGGTTTTTTAAAATACTTAAAAAAGAAAAAACGAGGGAAAAAAAAACGAGACTGACCCGTCAAGGAGATGGAGGAGAGCTTCCAAGTTATGAGCAGTAGAAAGATCAACGTTTGGTTTTAAGAACGGCGAGTTCCGGTGATCCAACGGCAGTTCCTCCCCCACGTGGCAGTAACACCACGGCAATCCTCCCGCCAGTTTCATAAGCGTGTCAGGCGCACGCTCGTTAAGAAACAATCCCGGCGATTTGGGCACAACGTCGTGCTCGTTCACCACCCTCAACACCTTCACTCCCAATTCCTCCATCCTCTCCTTAAATCTAACATTCCCCACGCGCGGTCCACCGTACGTGAACACCGTCACCGGAATCACCTTCCCTTCCCTCGTCCGATTCAATCCCATCTCCGCCACATCGTACGCGCTTAACACAGCCAACGCGCCGCCGAGACTGTGTCCCGTCACCGTGATGCTCAGATCTCCTTCTTCCTCGTCGTCGCCGTACTTCTCAACCAATCGCTTCACCTCCGTCAGAACCTGTTCACGCGCAGAGAATTTCGAGAAATTGCAGGAAGTGTCTTTGTCCGTGTAGAGATCCAGAAACCCGGATTCGGCTTTAACGGCCGGGTCGGAGCACCGGAATCCGTTTCCGGATACAGGTTTAAGGAAATCCTTGAGATCAGCTATCCACTCGAGCCGCGTGACGGTTCCTCTCCACGCGATCGCGATGTCGCGGCGTCCGAGACGGCGACGCGTGGATTCTTCGTCGTCGGTAACCGCCACGTATCCCATCCAGTTCGCGTTTTTGCTCCACACTTTGGACCATCTCGATTTCGAGAAGAAGTTTGGGAGATTGATGTTCGACGTCGCGTAGAGGTAACGCGCCACCTCGTAGCCGGAATCGAATATTCCGAGGGAATCGAAGAGCTTGTGGCGCGTGAACCGGCAGCTTCCACAGTACTTTGAAAATGGATCGAAATCGAAAGCGTCGTAACAGGCTTGGGCCAGTTCTCCGTACCGGATTAGCTCGGATCTCAGAACCGGGTCCATTGGATCAATTAAACCGGCCCAATCATCTTCTCCTTGGATCTTCCTCCACGTGTCTCTCAAACTCTTGGATTCTGTAGCTTCTCTATCTCGCCGGCGAATATATTCAGCCGTCGTGATCATATAACTTTCCGGCTCAAGTCTTGAGGATAGTGAAGCGTCTTCGGTTCTGGAAATTGCCCTCGCCGGCGATGTTCTAGCCGGAAAAGTGATGAGAGTAGAGTGTGAAAAGTGTGGTTTGAGTGAAAGAGAGCGAGGAAGGAGAAGGTTGTTGGAGGGAATGGTCGCCATTGTTGAGAGCTTGATGAGTTTCGTTTGAGAGTCGTAACGAAATTTATTGCGTCCTTTTTATAGAAAAAAGACTTGCTCGTGGCTCGTGGCTCGTGGTGCGTGGTGCATATCATTTTCAAATGTGGTTTTTATATTGATACAATAATTAAAATCTCTTTCTTCTCTTCCTCATTTTAAATGATTTTATTTTTCTTATTCCATGGCATCATTTGGCTAAGAAATGCCATTTGTAATGTGAATCCAAATCTTGATTTGAATGATTATTTAGTACTAATATACTACTTGTTATAGGTCTAAGGTCTTGAATTTGATTTGATAGATGAAAGTGTAGACGAAGAGTTGACTGTACCATACCAATGCAATGTACTCGAAAATTCTGGAATGAGATACGTTTGCTGGTCTTTGTTTTCCAAATTCTATATTAACACGTTTTGAAATATGATTAAACAATTCTGGTAGAAAATTGAATTCACTGCTGACAAAATGGAAAATTTTCATACAGTACCTACTCTCTGAATTATTGATTTTACAACTTAAAATGGAGAAAATAAGACCAAATATGGGGTCTGTAAAAGATTATCCTTTGACTCGTATGTGCAACTCTTCTTGGTCTAAACCGAAAAAAAGTGTAAAAAGCCAAGGAAAATGTTTCGTTTTGTCGAATCACACTGTTCATAGTCAAGCCACTTTCATAGACTTGGGAACATTTCCATTTATCTTCTTGTCATCTCTGTCTCTCTTTAAGTCTTAGCTTTAACCATCACTAGAATTACGCGAGTGTCCTTAGCCAACCAAGTAAACCAAGAAGGCCAAAATCGAGTACCCGAGATTTCTTCTCAAGCCCTACAAAATCCAAGGATGAAAGTGATTGCCTCCTGTGCTCATAGTACTTAACAAGTTCTATCTAACAGAATTCGAGAAGACGGCTTTTTCTCACCAATATCAGCAGCTACCCGATGAGCACACATCACTCCTGAGAAAGCCACAGCTATAACTCCCTGACCAGGAAAACAACTATCCCCAACGCAGTATAAACCGTCTATAGCCTATTATAGTCGAACCATTCTTTCATTAGCCACACATTTAGCGACATAACTAACCAAGAACTGATTATATCTATCTTCCTTTGACTTACCGTCGTATTGAATGGCATGCCTAATAAACCTTTTGGGGTTCCTCTTGGCATTGGCCCATAAGTTCCCTTATCCCTAGCAAGATATCGCCTGTGTGTTTTTGGTGTTCCTACCTGTCTTGAAAAACCTTTAGATATACATACTAAATAACCAAATAAGGCGTATGCTTGCTCTCATGCACTGCATAGAGAGAAGCCTCATATCATGCAGACCTACTTTCACAATTTTTACAATATGCATGGCAAATAGTAGGGGAACAAAGAACAAGCATAACCTCCTTAAATGTAATAGATGAACTGAGCCCTGGAAACAGTTTTTGCTCTAGCCTCTGTATTATTCCAGCTGCTACATCTTCTTTTTTGGCCTCGTACTCTTTTGGAGGGAGTCCCTAGAACCGAAATTTAGACATATTGAGAAATGTCCACTCTAATTCCATAAAGGTATATATAATTATGCTTGGTCTCACTCCCCTCTAAGATCATCCTTACCTCCCAATCCTCGATGGAAGAAGTTGTAAATATATGCAGTATATGTCGACCATTTGGAGCTAAAGATGGATCAAGAATGGTTGGAATGCTGAGGAAGATACTGCCATAAGGCTCCTCTAGATTCTTCCAATCGTCCTACATATGCCACGGAAGAATAAAGTCACAACTGAATACCTTAAACTCTGCCAAGGGATTAGATCTTAGTAGGAAACTAGCAAACCTCAAGCACAAAATGATGGCAATCTGTGTCTGGAGGGAGAACCTCTGCTTTAACACCCATGTGGATTGAAAGAAATGACGGAGCCTTGACATAGACTTTCTGGAAATTTTCTTCTTCTTTTGGAAGCTTTTCTCCTTTTAACAGCTTCCCTACAGCCGGATAATACAATGTTAAGTATTCTTACAGAAGAAGACACCTATTCATACAGTTACATGAGTCATCTTTTTCTCTTACCAAATGTATCCCATCTTGTAGCATTTGAAATTATCGTTTTAGCGAAAAATTCCCTTCCATCTGATAGCCTTACACCGACCTAACAATTCAGGTACAGAAGAAAACAATGTTCACAACCAAAAAGGAATTCCAAAGGGTTAGGGAAAAGAAAACTTGGAACTTCTTAGTGATTCGGAAACTTACAGCCTTTCCATCATCAAGTATTATGCTTTTCACATTAGCCTTGTAGAGTATTTCACTGCCTTGATCAACAAGTCCTTCAGCCAAAGACTTGGCAATCCCACCAACACCACCAACCGGGTAGTTAATTCCTCCATAGTGCCTGTCACATAAAACCTATCCTGACACATATAAGAAAAGGAAAGACCAGAAAGGAAAACACGAGTAGACACCAAATGTCAAAACAAGAATCCTACCATACTTGCATTGATCATTGGCGTCTGCAAGGCATTGACTGTGCTCACAATGAAACACTGCAGGCAAATACGAACACTTTATTCCATGCCTCGTTCTATTTATAAAATTTGTGCAGGTTGAGACAAATGTTTGTTCTCACCTCTGCATCAATGAAAGACAATAATTGAGGATCCTTTATGTACTTCCGAGCTATATCCCCAGCATTTTGAGGCAAGTAATAAGCTGCACAGAGAATAACATAACAAGTTTCATGTCAATCCTAGTTCCGACAGTAGATTTTGCTACGCGTATCTGTGCAGAGATCAAACATGATTTAAGAGTCCAAATTCTTTTCAGAAAGTTTAGACAAATACCGAGTGTCAAGCATTCGAGCGGCTTCTGAAAGAACTGTCCAAAAAGGTAGAGAGGCTCTTCTAGTGACTTTAGTTCCAGAGAGTTCAATGAGTTGAATATCTGTTCAACCGAAAGTAAAGCTGTTGTAATGTAAATACATATAGAATGACACTCGTAAACTTTCAAAATAAAATAACATCAGACCTTCCAGCAGTCTCCATAGAATCCGAGTATCCCTTCCTTTTCGTGTGGAAACTTGCTCGTAAGTTCAGTGACGAAATCATCATATTCTCTATGAATCTGAACAGAGAGATTATTGGGAAGATGGAAATGGACAGTGGTAGGATCAGGTATAACCTCCATCTTACGACCAACTGCCTTCAATGCCTGAGTTATCAAGTTTAGATTCCCCTGTTCCCTTCAAATTAAGCCAATTCTCTTCAACTTAGGACACAAATTCTTATCTATAGAAGACAAGTCAGTAATACAACAAAACAAGTGCTTCTCTACAAAACCATGACTTTTTTAATAGAAGATGAAGAGACCAACCTTGTCGCTGAAACCGAACATCACAGAAGAGCCAACATCGAATGTATATCCATCTCTTTCGTAATAACCAGAGCTCCCACCAGGAATCACATACTTCTCAAGAACTAAAACCCTAGCTTCTTTAACAGCTAGCTGAGTCGCAGCGACCAATCCTCCAATCCCAGAGCCGATAACAATGGCGTCGTAAACACTATCTCCTCCACTACTAATCCCTTCTACGGTACCAACCACACTCGAAGAAACAGATCTCACTGAAACCAGAGGCTTCTTCTTCTTCCGATTCTCTAAATCTCGACCCTGAAACCTCAATTTCGAAGAACCCAGCTTGAAATTCGAGGTCTTTAATCCGGAGAACAAGGAACTGCAATCACCGAACTTTACTGGATTTTGCAAACACAAATTCATGCTGCTAAGTTCGTCGTCACTAAATTGAATCCTTTGGATATTCCCAAAACCAATCAATCCATAGCCAAAATGAAATTATCAGCAAAAATTCGCAAATGGTTTTATCCAAAATTGGGAAATTGATTTCATCACATAGAAAGAAAAAGAAAATAATGTTTGGCAAAGAACGAGTTAGTGGAGATTAC